TTTTCTTGGTCTAGGTATAGGTTTTGCCTTCGTAGTAAATTGCCTGCATAAGTGCTTTTGTGCCCAGAGGAGAATGTAATACTTGGTTTGGCTGTTTAAAGTTAATTGCAACAATTTATACAAATTTCTTAATATTTGGGGGAGCTCTGGTGACCTAGTGTTAATAAGTTTTGCTGCAATCTCAAACTCATGAGGTTCAAATCCTCCAGTTGCTCTGCAGAAGGATGGGCAATCTCCTCCCATGCCATTAACTGCCTCTGAAAACCCACTTCAAGGGCGGGTGTGTGTGTGCTATGAGTCAGTTTCAACTGGTTGGCAAATAATATGGTAAACCGCCATAATGCCTACAACTTTAGGGGTTAGGATTTAATATTTGAGGAACTCCAGATATGTGGCAAGTGTTTTATAAAGATTGATTGACATAGTTTCATAGGTCTACCAGTAGAGTCTTATCTTCAATTTAAAATAAAATGTCATGGTCACGGAGCCAGTAAGTAGTTGACCAGAACTCAAACCACATGCTGCACAGCTCAAAAATCATGTTTTTTCACCAAAGGACAACAAAACCTCCATCACTACAGGAGCAGCAGCAATCATTTAGCCAGGATTTTACAAAATATCATTGGGTGAAGTAATAAATGGGTAAGGGGTGGGTTTTACTCTGTTCAACTGATTTTATCAAGATGCCACTCACTAAAAGTGTTAGCATTTACTCCCCCCACCAGCAATATTTACAATTAGACAAAATTCAGGGGCGGGGGGAATCTCTTATTTCCATAGCTTTAGGAGTAGTCCCATCTCTAATAAATTTCTGTCACCAGGGCTAATATATTTTTTATGTCAAAGATGTTCCTTGTTCATAAAGTAGAATGAGGCTTATAACCCATTTGTCTCTTAATGTTCTCCCATGTGAGGCTTAAGCAAGACAAAAAATCTCATCCAACATCGTGAAAGCCTTTTCTCTACATCTTCAGTGAAAACATTCTTCAAAGACAGAAATTCAGTAACCTACCAGTAGATGGCACCAGTCATGCTGACTACCCTGTTTATTTTTTTTCTTCATTTTATTCATTTTTGTACATTACTATCTTGGTTTTAATAATTTTTTTTCTTCACTTTAAGTCCAGAGGCTTAAGACAGAGGTCTTTTACAGTCTCTTACTTATCATAGCCAACTGGCTCAAGGCAATACGTCTTCTGAATCACAAGGGTGTGGACTGTGAATTGAACTTCTCCAGCATGTTACCTATTGGCCCAGTGTTAAGGGCTTTTGTTTTCTTGATGTTGGTCATCATTGATTTTCATCTCTCAAGTGATTCATTCTGGGTAGGTCATGGTACTCAGTACTGTAATCTTGTGTAATTCTCTTTCATCTTATAAACCCTAACCTCTATGCCAACAGAATACTAAATGTACCTTGTATCATAACACAAGAGGATGTGACTGAAGTCTCATCCTTGTTTGAATCAGTTCTCTTACAAGAGCTAAGAGAAATGCAAGCAGAGATCTTGCTGCAGGATCTGAGAGGATGGTAGATTCCAGGGACCCAGGGACTCTGCACTCAGAACCTCCTATACTCACAGAATTATGACAATGCACATGAAGCTCTCCAGGAAATGAGTCAGACACAACGGTCTTTCCTCACCATAAACCACTTCTTTGTAATTCCTATACTTTGGAAAGTTCGACAATGATTAAGATCAATGAACTGATGCTTTGTGGTGTTGGAGAAAAAGTCCTTGCTGGACTGTTGAATACAGAAGCCTGTCTTGCAGGAAATGCAACCAGAGTACTCATTAGAGGCAAGGATGGTGAAACTTGATCTCACATACTTACATCATGTTGGGAAAGGTGGAGGGTCAACAAGCAAGAACATGATCCTCAAAGAGATAAACAGGGGGCTGTACCAATGGGCTTAAGTATGTGAGAGATTGTGAGGACAGCAAAGGAAAAAGCAAGTTTCTAATTTGTTATTCAAAGGATCACTATGAATTGTAGTTGACTCAATGGCACATAACATATTCCTCAAATTAAACTGACTCAAAATTTAAAACAAAATTGCTAAAACTACAGAGACAAGAGAAGGTACACTAAGATTAATGGGATATAACCTGAATTTTTAGATGTCTATGGGAAAGCAAACTGCAGTATCACAGGTAGCTTTGTATCATCTGGCCATAAAGATTCCATTTTTCAGTTTCTAAAATTATATGAAATCCCTCCAAACTTTCCCAGACATAAGGGGTGAAGATGTTCTGATCAGTTTTCAATCCACTTTAGAACTGGGTCTGTAGAAATCATCTAGGGAGTAATCCTAGTACAGTGTATAATATAGGATGGTTTTTTTAGATTTGGTCAGGTGGTGTGTAAACTTATTTCAAAGTTGATGGTTGAAAGGACCAGGAAGGAGGAAGTAAGACCCTTTCTTCCTCTTCACTTCTTGAGGAGTGCAGTCCAAGTTGACTGGTAAGGCAAATATTCACTATGGATTTTCACTGTCGCGTTGACTTTGGAGGATTTCCTTGAGAAAAAACAAAATTGTTAAGAAATTATAAAGAACATGGAACAATGTTATCTTACTGAATCAAGTATCAATTAATTACAAAAGTAAATGCTTAGATCTTTCTCAATTTCTCAGTATGTCAATTCAAGGGTGAAAGCATTTCCACAATAACATGCAAGCAAAACCTTTCCTGGAAGTGCTGCCAGGATGTTTAAAAGCAAAGATGGCAATACTTCATTCATATCACGTATTTTGCTTATCAGGTGAGACGAGTCCCTGTAGAAGGACATTATGCTTGTAGGCAGTCAGTGAAAAAGAGCAAGAGCCTCAATATACAGTACTGACCCATTTCACCAATGGGTTCACACATGACAACTGTGATGGTGGAAGGTTAGACAATGCTTTGTTCTACTGGACCCAGGGTTGCTATGAGTCAGAACTGACGTGGCAATACTGAACAGCAAAATTTCCACATCTAACTTTACATCATTTTTTCTATTTTGAGGTATTAGTAATATTATCAGACAACAAACATTTGAGTGCTTAAATGTAAGAATGATTTCAGTGACTCCACAAAGACATACTATTACTTACTTGTTTAGAAGTTGAAGAATTTCATTTTTAAAGGGGTTTCAAGTATAACTAACTTGCCCCAGATCAGAGATGAGATTATGAGGTCAGGATCAGATGCCCATGAATCAATCCATACCTGATAACATTTAAATTTTCCAACACTCCACAATTATTTTGGAAACACCTTTAATGCTGTATTTTCCCACCGGTAAAGGTACTTTTACTTTTGCTTGGATTTAGAGCAAATGAAAACAGGAAACTGCATACTAATTTACAGTTATTTTACAAATTTTGAAAATGACTATCTTAGGAAAATATGTCACAAAGTCAAATTAGTATTAATGTAAGGATTTTTAAAATAACTTTTAATACCCGTTATTCAGTAACTACAGAACATAAATTCCCTGGAATTATTTCTCTTAACACCCTCCACAAAAGGCTTATGCATAGTGTGCACTCAGATACTAATCAGACACACTAAATTAAAGCAAACAATTGTCAGGCATTAATTTTTCTACTCAAATGCATTAAGGTCTTCAGAAAACAAACTGGATCGAGTCTGTGATTTGAGATGTAAAAAGATAAAAGCAACAAATGCAGAGCCAAAAAGTCAACAGACTGAGTCATTAATACAATTGTAGCAGGATACACTGGCTCTATAATGTAAGTCATTTAAAGATATAGAAAAATTAAAGGTCTGTTAACATCAACAAGTTTTATTTAAGAGGTAATATTCAAGAGAAGTTTAACAAAGGAAAAGTTAATCAGTAACTCGACAGCAGGAGATGGACATGGGTAATATTTATGATGTACAAATAAATTCCACCTTTACATGACTACATAAAGCTGTACTGACTTCGTTGAGAGCCATTTCTTAACTTTTGAGACTAAGGCTACGTGAACCGTGTTCAAAAACTTCAACAACACACCAAGCAGTTACAAGAACAACAAAAAGGATAACAAAGTTTTTTCTAATAACAAGAAACATCTAAAAGTTCTCACAGGCTGTTAGCACCCTGCACACCTCAGGCCCTGTAACTTCCCTGACTCAGACTGCCTATTTCTTCTGTGAATTCAATTCACCTTCAAGATGTTATCTACCATCATCCTTTTAAAAAATAATTAGCTCAATGCTTATTATAACTCTCTCAAGATAATACTGATACTAAACATGGTAGTTTCAAAAATATATATTAAAAAGATCCGTTTTTAAATTTCCCTTCAATATAATCCACAAATTTGCAATAAATGCTGAGTTCTATTCCCAAATAAAATGCATCTTCCAAAAATTGTTTGCTACAGATCACACTCTAGTCCATAATTCTGGTAAAGAATCCATGTTTTGATTTTTAACAAAAAAACAATATTTAGGATGATCCAGTCCTTGGAAAATCCTACCAGCAGTCACTCAGTGAAGAAGTCAATCACTCCTGGAGTCACATTCAAAAACTAGAGTAAAGCACTGATCAAGGTTTAGTTTTACTTTGTTGGTGTTTATTGGTTTATCTGAGTTTAAGAAAAATTCTTAAGGTTTAGTTTTACTTTGTTGGTGTTTATTGGTTTATCTGAGTTTAAGAAAAATTCTCCTCCTAAGTCTTATTTTAAATATTACAATCTTTATACAGAAGGCAGACTCACAGAAGCTACATAAAGCTTATGTCTTAAGTAATTCACCCATGGAATGGGTACAGGCTTTTTAGAGGTTAGTGATCTTTTTTCTCTAAAATTGACTACCTCTAGTGTTCCACTTTAATTGGGAAACTGGAGCAGTTTGACAGTTTTCTATAAAAACCATTTTTCTCAACCAAAAATATAAAAGGAAATCAGTAAGACATACATTTCACAGTTAACGATAAATAAAAGTGCAATAAGTATTCAAGTACGGCACGTAGTTTTAAAAACTACATGTGAAAATTTGGCTTCAGTCATCTTTTAGACACTCTTCGAGGGTCCCTGCCATTAATTATTGTGGTCACAACTGTGTGATTATTAGCTGTTCCTGATGGATTTACAGGTCCTCCTCTTCTACCACCATGTGAAAACTGGCATCCCCTGGATTCAGAGCTGGTATGAACATCATTTCCTAAAAAACAATATAAAAATTTATCACTTTTAAGTTTTTCATCTAAAGAAGTACACCTATTTCAAGTCCCAATACACAGTAATACAAATATAGCAAGAAAAGCAAACATCATTAAAACAGGGGGTGGGTGTTGTGTAAGGGAAGAGATAAATATTTTAAAAAGGGGTTCCTTGTTTCTAAATGTATATTATAGTAAATGTATTACTTTCATCTTGTATTAATATGCAAAGGACAAAAACAGATTTAAACCAAAAGAATAGAAAAAAAAAAAAGCTTAGACATCTGTTGTCTAAACCAGACCCGGGGGGGGGGGGGGGCGCGGCGGCGGCCATATGTATGAATAAATTATCAACATGCCATTTAAGGAATAAAGATTACTCTTTTAAAGAGGTAGCAACCAATATGAAAAAAACTTAAAGCCGCTGTTAGTATAGTCAATCTTTCAGTGCAACCAAATCATGAAAAATTCTGAATTATAATAATCAACAAATTACACCTATTTTATAAAGACAAAAACAAAACTCATGTGAGATCTTTCACCTACATCTTCAAAATTTAACCTTTTTCATTATTAGCCAATGTTCATAAATGTATTTACAGGGCCCAACCCAAATGTTTAAATATTGAAAATGTGGACTAAAGTAGCTTAAAAGTCTATCTACTTTCTTGAAAAAGTTAATTATTTGGGAACTAAATGTCAATTAATAGTTAGCTTTAATTTAGTACTAATAATTTATTCCTAAAGAAAATTATACTCTTTAATTCTTTTCCTTGATTAGAAATATTCTCCCAAAAAATCTTACCCATTGATCCAAATGTACCTGAACTCCTATTACTTGAGGAATTATTCTGTTCACTGTATGCCTTAAAAAGAAAAAAAAATTTAATTTAACCAAATAACCATAAAAACACATATACAAACACTTATACCATTTTATAAATTCTTAATTTGTAAATTTTCTTTAAACGGTGTGTCTAAATCGTCTATATATTATTCAGTACTGTTTCTCAAACCTCCTCTAACACTTCTTGGGAGTAACTCCAGACCCATCAAAATGCTAAAAGTTATGTATGTCTAACATATGTTCAACTACATACATAAAACTCAGTGAAGTGTTTTGTATAATAATCATTTAAACTGTGCTTATTACATTCTAAATAAGACAGGAATGATAATCAGGTCATTTAATTAAAGTTCACAATTAAAACAAGCCTAATGATGAAAATAAACTATACAATGGGATTAATTACCCCTTTATTTTGCTGGCCTCGATAATCTGGATTGGGTTCACTGAAATTGGGCACTTCTGAATATACCATACAAAATCTGAAAATAAAAGGAAATTTAAATCATCAATTTTTTTTTGTAAAACAAACATCATTTAGAGGTATTTAAGAATTTAGGTAGAAAAAGAATGAATTTAAAAAGCTATACACTAACTTGCTCTATTAAACTTCCTAAACATTTATCTTTAATAAATCATCAAATATTTGATCACTTATATTGACTAATTCAACCTTCAATTAGTGTATTTTAATTCTTCTGAGCTGCCAAAAATGTGTCCTAGATAAAGGACACAGAAAGACATCTTTTGTCCCAGTTTTCCACAGGCTGTTGCTGAGGCCACACTGAGGGTTGTGGAGGGGCATTCCCAGTAGTGGTGATGGATTGACACTGATCCATCCATAGTCCCTCTTATTACCAATCACTGGGAATCTGCAAAGATAATCATGCAAAATTAAGAATGAATTCTGCAGCCATAAATTAACAGAGATGGCTATCAAATCAATAGTTATTTTTTCTTATAGACTGTATGTGTGTACTAACACTACATGGAGCATGTTCTTAGCTCATTACCACTAAAAAAGAACAGTCACTAGATTTGGTATACCCCAGACTGGTGTTTACAGAGAGCAGTCATTAAGAAACAAATGCTTGGACAACAAGTGTTAAGGCCTTTGTAGTATCTTTGTTTTAATGACACTAGTTTTAAACATAAGTATTACCTAAGCCCTAACTTTCCTCTTAAAGGTGTTTCCATTTTGCTTTTTAAAAGCTGGCAAGATTGCTTACTCTTTTCTTTCAGTAATTTCAGGTTCTCCATAAAAGGTACATTAACCCCTCACTGTGGAGTTTTCCCTTTTGATGTCATTTGTGGATCCTATCTAAAAGATGTACTGTCATCCCAAAAGCATGCAGTTTGAATCTACCAGCTGCTCTGCAGAAGCTAAACAAGTAATCTCCCATATGATTAAACTGCCTCTGAAAATCCACTAGGTTAGCTATGAGTCAGTTCCGACTTGAGGGTATACAACACCACCACCTATCTATATATATGTATCTATCTCCTCCAATATTCGAATGGCATTAGGCAGACATCTACAAATCAATCAAGTTAGTATGGACAAACAAATGATTTGGCTCATTGCCTGTACCATTCTTTGAATATAACCCAAATGTCTAAGCTTGCATGGAGGCTGAATTACCTTTACACCCCTAGAGAGGATGGTTCCTCCAGGTCAGGGTGAAGATCATTACCAGGTATGGAAGCTCGCATTGCGGCTGCCTGCACCATACCTAGACTGTGGATAAATAGAGGACTTCAGTTTCCAGTGCTGCAAGTCCTTTTAACACAAGTATTCACTCATAAACATAAAAACTTAAACTTATGACCCTAAAACCCACACCTAGCATCCTATGTGGTAAAACTACTAGAAGAGAGAACCTAATTTATGTAGAACTTTTGACCCTTCTAAGAAATGGTCCCAGCGGGTTGGTCTCAAACACAGCTTTTTACTGCTCTTTGCCAGGAAAAATCAGTACTCTTGAGCAAGGGACACTATATACTGGTAGCTGTCATTAAACTAGTGAAGACATGCAAAGTTCTTTTATTCTGTTAAACTACTACAGGCACCAAGATTTACCACTCAAAAAAAAAAAGTGAAGAGGTACAGTTTATACCTACCAGTTACCCTGTGGGTATCATTTGAATTTTTAATGATACATTTTAATACTTACTCCCCAATTTTTTGAAGTTCACCACCCCTCCCAGTATAAAGTGTTAGGCAACCTTTCCACATGGATGCATACCTAGAAAAAAAGAACATTTTCTGTTAGAAAGAGTTTACTGCCTTCAACTTAAAACTAAGCAAAGTTATGCTGGTTTTTGTATTGGGTTTGACATGTGTTATCAATTGCTATCTACCATGCAAAGCAAATACGTTAAATGTATTTTTTACCAACTTGCTACTTACTTAATAAGGAAAAAAATGCCCTCAAAAGACAATTTTGGCACAACCACCTAAATTCTCACTCATCAGTCCTAGACAATGACCAGATTTTTTTTTTACAAAGCAAAAGTTCACATCTTTAGTCATTTAATAGAGAAGCTTTTAATTGCAGAAGTTATCTTCAATTCTAGGATATATAAAATCAACACTATACTGCACTTATTTACTTGGTCTTGTCAAATTCTGGCAACTTTTTTTTTTCTCTGATCCTTAAAAGACACATGGCTCCCAAGGTACTGAAGACATGAGCAGAATTTAATCAAAATGCTAATGCTAAAAATAGTCACAAATCCTTTACTTATCTGCCTTCTTACATTTGCTTAAACAATTCTGAATTCTGACATCATTATTAGATAAAATGATTCCTGATACAGATGTGAAAGAGTAATCAATATTGTCAAATGAGTCCAGGTTTGGTTTTCAGTGGTTCTTCATACAATTGGGAAACACTGGTAGCATAGACCTTGTGGAGTTATGCTACTAAACCCAAGTGTATTCCCAAAAAGTTCAAATACACCAGTAGCTTCACAAAAGAAAAAGAGGCGGTCTCCTCTCTTTATGATTTAATGAAAAAGTTTTCATGATAATTTTATGGTGATAATATTTTAAAATAGGTTAATAAAAATTTTAAAATTTGCTATTTTCACAGTTCTCAAAAGCTTAATAATTTTTAAAAACCCCTTATGCCATTCTTATGCAAAGAGTAACTTATAACATGTCATCTTCCAAGTATTACTTTCTTCAAAAGTTGCTTTGGTAAGGTAAATTAATTCTCATCTTTTAGAAAAGTTGAAGGTAAGAGATACAATAATGTCCTTAAAGTCTTATAAAGACTACAGCTAAGTTAGCACAAGAACTAGTTTTTCTGTGACTATAAAATATTTGAGATGCTGTATATAATTTATAAACTATTTTTTAATCACTCAAAAAAACCATTTTGGGAACCAAAGAGAAATTTGTTCATTCTAACCATACCATACTCTTTTAGGTAGAAATCCTCTTATGGGTACATTAAAATGGAGACTTTTAAACGAAACAATCAGTGTCATAATGAGTCAGTGTACAAGAATAAAATGTCTAAGTCCTGACTCTCACTTCCTGTTTTAATGATACTCTACATCACTTCCTGAAGATGTGAGGCTTATAAAGTATCAAAAGGCTCTAAGCTCTTACAGGGAAGTCATTCCAATACTTCTTTGAGAAACTACTTGGCCAATGTCAATCTTCATTCTTATCTCCTTTCTATAGCTCTAACTCATAATGACCAGAATTGCTCCCACATTCTATTTTATAGGTATGACTTCTAGCCTTTTTCTCTAAGATAAATACTTGGTAGATAATCGCTGTCTTCATTATCAACCACAATAAAGTTTGTGCTAAGTATTTTTTTTACAGCCATCAATTTGCCAACTGGTTGGAGTATCAAAGCGATTTCTGACGAGCATTTCATATCGCTTGGGTTTAACTTAAATCAGAAGGCACAAAACTTATTCTATTCAATGAGCATTCCACATACTGTAAACGCACCTTCACTTCTACACCGAATACATATATATATATATATATATATATATATATATATATATATATTCTCTGACACACACCCCATTGAAACGCCTATACTTCTCCAACTACAATTTCATGTCTGCATTGTCTAAATAACGTATGAGTACTATAAGCAGGACTGCAAGTAAAAAAAGAATTGTGTGATACGGAATTGAAATGACGCTGAATTAAGCAATTTATGAAAAGCTGAAGTATTGACTATGGCTTAAGACTCAGTGAGTGGTCCCCGGCCACAGCCAATGTGCAGTGTATGTGTTACTGAGGAAGCACCTCTGCTCCCCCCTCACCCCACCCCCACCCCCCGACTCAAGGCACACCTACCCTCTGGTCAACCTAATAATATCCCCGGGCTGTATGAGACTTCCGATCTCATCCCACACTGAAATGGTGATGCTGCCCGTTTTATCGGCTACTTTGCACGATGTCACTTCATGGCCGTCTTTGGTTTTGGTCACACGTCCTGTGAAAAATGTAAAAATGAAGAGGAAGGAGTGTATTAGATAAGGAGGACTTCCAGGAAGGCTCGCTCCTCCGCGAGCGTTTTAACTGACCAGGAAGGTAAAGAGGGGCGGCCCGCCCAGCCCGAGGCGGGTGCGGAGACGGGCTGCAGGTGCGACCCGGGCGGTGGGCTGCGGGCCACGTGGGTGGGGGAGGGGAGCGCCCGGAGGGGGCGACTCGGGGTGACCGAGCCCACTCCTCTGCCCCGGGCGCTCGGAGCAGAGGGGCGGCCCACGGCCCCCACTTACCTATTTCCAGGACAATAAAGATGACATTTAAGTTTTTCAGCCCGGGCTTAATGTCTTTTATAAGAAGAGGTGGGTGGTAGAACCCGTTCATACTGAGGCAGGTGTGGCCCCGCAGGAAGTGGAACCAGGCTTCCCACCCGCCGGGGCTGGGGACGAGGGCGCAGGGGAGACCTTGGGCGGGGTGACGAGAAGGGGCAGAGAGCGGTTAGGTTAGTCAAGAGACCAGCGAAACGAGCCCAGGCGACGCTGAGCCTAAAAAAACAGTAACAAAAAACCAAAAAAAAAACAAAAAAAACAAAAAACCACGGTGAAAAGCGCTTACAAGTTTGGAAGAAGAAAAAAAAAAAATGACCTACTCCTCACACCAACCCCTCTCCCAACCGAGTGGGAGCAAGGCAAGCGTTTGGACTGCCCCTTCTGTGGATAAAAGAAGAAAAAGGGAAAAAAAGGCAGCGAGGTCAGCCCCTGCCCTGTGCCCTGTGCCCTGTTCACACACACTCAGACACTGGCGCGCTCCCACTCTGTTCCGGGCTCCGGGAAGAAACAGACTGTGACTGTAGACCTAGAGCACAGCAGATATCAGACACCGAGCCTCAAATACCGACGACCGAACGCGACGCCACTCGAGCAAGACCGTACGCCGCCCCGCCCCTTGTGACGCCACATGGCGACGACACGCCCAGCGCCCCGCCCACCCGGCCGGGAGGAGGAGTCATGTAGGAGCAGGAACCGACGGGTGACGCAAGCGCAGCCCCTTCCTCGCAACCTCTGGGCTCGTAGCGTGGGTCCCGCCCCTTCAGCCAGCCAATCAGCTCTCAGCCCGTGCACGCCACGCCGCGCCCTTTTCCCCCGTTCAGCTGTCTCTACGCATTTGGGTGTTTGCCCTTTTTGGCTTCGCTTTTTGGGTTGTTTTCCAGTTAATGTTTTTCTACCTTTAAGCCACAGAGATTCGACTTGAAGTCCTTTCCTTCTAGTTTCAAAGACGGGAAACAATTGCTGGTTTGAGATCTAGTAGGTTCTTTAAAAAGTGTGCAGTCGAGTTAAGATGAGATTTCGGGCCACAGTGGTTGGTCGTGGACAAGGAGGAAAATAGAGATGGCTAAATAATCCTTGGCTACAAATTGGGATTTTAGGAAGTGAATGGAACATGGAAACTAATTCAACCGACTGTTTCTAGACATAATTTAATTGAGACCCAAGGAAATTAGTTCCTTTTCTGAAGGTCACTCAACAGCTCGTGACCAAGCAGGATTCCAGCCTAAGTAGTCAGACTTGGTCTTGCACTTTGTAAAAAGTAGCAGACATAGTTGTTCGGTCCCTTCCAAGTAGAGTACGCCTGAGCGACCCTATGAACAATAAATCTGAACTCTGACCTATCCTGTGCTATTCACATCATCTCTGACGCACTTTAAGCAGATACACAAGTAGTTAATTACTTTGCATGCCTCTCTTGTTACTCATGCTTCCCCTCGAGTTACATTCCCTCCTCGGTTATACAGCCCAAAGGAAGTAGCCATGTAACGTGGTGGAAGAGAAACTGAAACTTTAAAAACAACTTTTTGTTTCTTGGCGTGAACAGAGCCTGAGCTTTGAGACAAACCTGGGGTGGAAGTATTTCCCGGCTGTGTGACCTTTCTGGCCGATGGCCAAACTTTCCAGCCTTCATGTTATTTGAAAAATGAAGGGGATCGCAATTTGCAGATTGCATGGGATCACAAGTAAACTATCGTACCTAGCACTTGGTTGATAATTCCGTAAATATTTGCTCTTCGCAGATTTAGACATTTCTATTGCATGAAAAAGCAATATTAGTTTAAACTGGGACCGTTTAAGTTTTTCAGTGACACGATTTGGTGAGTGCTCTTTTGAAAATCCACGTTTTTACAGATCAAGATCACCAGAGGCCACATAGAGAATGAGTCTAGGCAAACTTGGCTTAAAATCTCAGCTGTAAGGATAATTTTTAGACTGATAATTTTAAAATTATCACAGTCAAGAACAGACTATAGAAATAAGTAGGAGCAGCAGGATATATCTGGAGGACTTTATAGAATCATTGACTTAATTTGTGATGGTAACAAGTATTTGGAAGTATGTCAGAGAATTCGCATGTCAGAAGGCTTACTTATTCTTCAGTTTTTTCTGACTACTTTGAGCTCAACCACCACTTCTCAAACACCTGCAAAGAAGCAGTTTCAAAAATAAGAGTTTCACAAATAATCATATTAATCATAAAAGTCAAGAAATTCTTATGGAAATAGAAGCTTCCACTTCATGAACAAATAGGCCTTGAGTGTCAAAGACCCCTGATGTAATGGCTGAAAAATGGCAAAAATTTACACCAACCAAACAGAACTATATGAGTTTATAGCAGAGTCAGCCTCTGACCGATCATCAAAACTCACTCTGTTGAATGGATTCCCATTCCTGGTGATCGGCCATCAGTTTTTTAAGGCTGGTGATATTAACAGGAGGACACTCCCCATCTTTCTTCCTGAGAGCAGCTGGTGGATTCAAACCACTGGAGATGCAGTCTTTTTGGTTAGCAACACAACATCTGATGGACTAGGCTACCAGAGCTCTCTTGTGACTAATCTTGGGACTCCCAAAGTCTCCTAGTTCAGGAACCTTTTCTACTATCCAAAGCTCTGATTCTATCATCTTCATGGGAAGAAAGACTTGATACTTCATTTGGATTGCCATCAATTTTAATGCAGGCGTAAAGCATCCTCAGAGAAACAATGTCCAATGTGTTCTGGAAAGTGTATAGCAGCTTTCCTGAAAGAAGTCAGCGAAAGAGAGCTAGAGTTTAAAGTTATGTTTTTATTCAAGTGCAGCTAGCTCCCAAGCGAATCCTCTGTCCTGAAGGGGCAGAGCAGAGGATTCACAACTTTGGGGGGTTGGTATGGGGTTTTTATAATTGGGTCTTTGGGAAGAAGGGAGTTGCATTCCATTTCTTAGTTTACAGCCCGTGATAGGCTCCGGGTGGTTGGCAAGGTCATTAGTCCACCTTATCAGCTCCACGCGAGGCCATCCAGCCTGGTGTTCGCATTCTTGTTCCCCCTCCTGGCCCCCTTGCCCGGGCCTAACATCCCAGCCTCTTTGGTGGTACAGAGGGTGACGTGTCTGTCTTTAGCTACTTCCTGCTGGAGGGGGACGAAGATCAGGAGGATCAGAGGCTGGATTGGATCAGCCCGGGTTCGGTAGCCAATGGGGAATATGGGTGCAACAGCAGCTGGTTCACTGTTAGGTTGGTCATTTCTTTTATCCTGTGAAGTAAAAACTTAAAAATGCAGGGAGCAATTAGTAACATTATACTTATGACTACTAGTGGCCCTAGAAAGGGAATAGCCCAGGTAAGAAATGGGTTTTCAATCCAAATGGGGAAAAGATTCATTGTTTTTTGCCTACTTCTCAATTCTTCAGCTAGCGTTGCTAGTTGAGAAACTTTTTCTTCTACTAGTCCTGATTCATTGATGTAGTAACAGCATTCTTCTCTTAGGAAGAGGCAGGTTCCCCCTTTCTCAGCAGTTAAGAGATCTAGTGCTCTTCGATTTTGGGGGGTAACCTGTGCCAGCGAGGTTAGCTGGCGTTGGAGAGAGGCTAGGGAGGCTGATGTTGTTTCTAAAGCTAATTGCAAGCGATCTTCAAAGTCCTGTGCTGAGATTATGCTATGGCCTAGAGCTCCTCCCACCAGTCCTCCAGCAGTGACAGCAGAGGCTAAGCTGACTCCAACCATAATTGGGAGAAATGCTGCTCTTTTGATACGGAGAGTGGGGAGGAGCCAAGCTAATTCAGACTCACTGTACAGGGTGAGCTGAGGTACTACTGTTACAGGGAAACACGGCCCCTTTATGGTGGAATTTATACACTTGTGTAGGGTCCCATTGCACCAGAAATGTTGTCCTGGTTCAGCCACAGTGTGCTTGTTTATGCTAACATTATGTATGCAGTTTCCATGTTCCATTGCTGAGGGTGCAAATGAGGAAGTTGTGTAACCGATGCGGGATGGCTTGGCCTGCTTATCGAACTCTGGTTCCCAGAGTGGGACATGTCCTGGGATGGTTGAACATTTAGTTCGTGCTGAGGGAATGGCTTGGGGTGCCTTGATCAAGTGTGGTTTAGAGAAATTTATTGGTACTGCTGCTAGTAAAGACCGTTGTAAAAAAGCACATAGGAAACAATGAGAAAGGTTGGTCACCATCTGACTTTGGTTAAGAAATAGTAGAGTGTTTTGGATAATTTGGACCCAGGTTGGGGGCTGACTAGCCTGTGGCTCTTCAGAGACTTGTTCCATCATTTTCTGTTCAGCTTGGATGATGTTATTTGAGACCTGCACTTGGGCATTGAAATCTAGAACGTATTCCCTGCTTATATGTAGTGTGCTGGAGGGCAAGGAACTATATCCAGTAGGATATAGTTTTCCTTCTACTCCAGCCTGCCACCGGGGATCCCAGGGGTCGGAAACATGAAAGTAGAAATTCCCTTGTTTTATGAAAAAGACTTTGGTGTTATGAACATCATGGATTCTGCATGACCAGTATGGACAACCTCCATACTTTTCTGGCCACTTTAGACAGTATGAGTGAACTTGATCTTATAGAAAGCAGGCAAAAGGTCTCTTGGAGGATGACACCGACTTGGGTGATATTGGAATCGTGATTGCTGCCTGGCATCCCCGTTTAGGACAATCTGCTGAGCCAATGAGGTGTGTGTTTGGAGTGGACTGCTGGGTGGGAGTTTCTCTTACTTTGAATCTCCATACGTAAACATTACCTAGGACTTCGGGGCTGAGTGAGACGAAGAGTAGTGGGACCCACCATTTGAGAGGTGTAGGAAACTTTCTCAGTGGGAGGAGCATGTTTGACTTGGGAGAGATGATGCCAATGAGGGTTACCTAGGACCTTAACCGCTGTTGGGGTGGTTAAGATGACTGTATGGGGTCCGTCCCAGCGTGGTTGGAGAGGTTTAGGTGCACGCCGTTTGATGAGGATAGCGTCTCCTGGAACAACTTCAGTGGTTTGGTCTAAATTCTCAGATGAGGGTTTAGGTATGCAGCTATCTGCGTGTTCTCGAAGAAATTGCCTGAGG